CCCGGTGTCCCCCGCCCCCTGGTGCCCGTCCCCTCCCTCCCCCCCGCAGCTGCCGGGCAGGAAGGACCTCTTCATCGACGCGGACCTGATGAGCCCCCTGGACCGCATCGCCAACGTCTCCCTGCTCAAGGTAGCGCCCGCCCGCCTCGCCGCAGCCCGGCCGCAGGGCTCTGGGGCTGGGGCCGCGGCCTAGGTCCCCCTGCCCCAGCCCCGAGAGCCGGCACAGGGCCCTGGCGCCTCCCGTGACGCTCGGCCCCGCTTGCACCCGCAGCAGCACGAGGTGGACAAGCTGTACAAGGTGGAGAACAAGCCGGTCGTCAGCACCAGCGACCAGTGAGTCCTTCCTGGCCCGGCCCCCCGTGGCTGGGGCGCAGCCGGCCCTGCCCTCGCAGAACGGCTCTGCCCAGGCAGCCCCAGCCGCGGCACAGTCCCTGCTGGACGGCTGCGGGGCCGTGGGCTGGTGGTGGCCCCAGGAGCGGGGCAGCAGGAGTTGAGGTGCAGGAGGTCCTGGGCTGAGGGTGGGCCTGGGGACGACTAGCGGAGGAGCCACGGGAGCTGGCCTGGGGGCTGCGGGCTCCTCCCGTCCTCGGCCCCGGGAGCCGGGCAAGGGTCTGGGAGCGCTGGGGTGCTCCCTTCGCCAGCCCGCGTCTGTCCCGCTCCAGGTTGTGCTTCTTGGTCCGGCCGCGGATCAGGAACGTGAAGTACATCGCAGGTGAGCGGAGGACGCTGCTGTGGGGTCAGCCATGCCGCCAGGGCTTTGCGGCACGCGCAGGGGGCGTCGGGCGGCCCGGGTTCTCGTGCGCCGGGTTGTTTGCAGCGGGGCAGGGGTGGGGAGTGAGCCCAGTGCTTGGGACTCGCTGGTACCAGTCAGTTCCAGGACGGGGTGCTGGTTTCTGGGGACGGCTGGGATCTCACGGCCAGGTCCTGCCTTCGTGCCCAGCCGTCTGCTTGCCCGACTGGCTGGCGCGTGCTGGGCTCGGGCAGCCCTGGGGCCCTTGCCGCGGTCTGCCCAGCGCGTGCCTTGGTCGGACCCCACGGGATTCCCCAGGCTCTGGTTCACCTGGGTCTCGTGTCTGCAGACGTCGTCCATGCAGATAAGGCGGCGGGCAGGAGCCGGAAGTACAAGATTATCTTCAGCCCCCAGAAGGTCAGTGCCTCAGTCCCTTGCACCCAGGTCAGGCCCCCGCTGCAGCCTTCCTGGTTCTTCACCCTCAGCGCCAGCTCCCCCACGGGTCACGGTTCCTGGGGTTTTGGCCAGAGCCAAAGGCCACAGTGCCCAGGAGTGAGCTGTTACAGCCCAGGAAAAGCTTTGCTTGAGGGAGTCTTCACTGTCCCCTGTGTGGGCACCGAGGCTGGGGGAGGTGCCGCATCTGGGCAGTGACCAGCCCCTCTTCTCCTGTAGTTTTACGCGTGTGAGATGGTGCTGGAGGAGGAGGGAATCTACGGAGGTGAGTGAGAAGGGGAGGGTGTCGGGGTGCTGGGCCCTAACAGGTCTCTGTCCAGCCTGTTCCCTGTGGCTGGCATGGGGATGGGCGCTCTATGAGCCAAGCCCCTGGGCTGGTCACCTAGTGTCGGGATCCCCCAGCAGCCTGGGCCCAGGCCTGGGCAGGGGCAGCGAATTCCCATGAGGCTGGGGGAGGGCGCGTGGCCCCTGCTCGATGGGGGAGCGATGGGCACTCCCACCCCTGCTCTGGTAATGGGGAGGGGCAAGGGCCTTACGAGACCAAAGCCTGCTCACCCTGGCTCTGCCGCCTGCCCCAGACGTGACCTGCGACGAGTGGTCCTTCTACCTGCTCCCCCTGGACGACGACCTCGTCAGCATGGAGCTGCCCGAGTTCTTCCGGGACTACTTCCTGGTCAGTAGCACATGGCTGCAGGGCACTCGCCCCACGGGCTTGCAGCAGGGCCAGCACAAGGAAAGCTGCGTCTGGGGCACAGTTGGAGCAGAGATGGCTCTAGCCCACAGTGTGAGCCAGCCCTGGGGTCTACAGGCAGCTCTGCCATTGCTTGCCAGCCCCCCAACCTGCTCTGCCCTTTTTGCACCCCCCCCCAAGCTGGGCTCAGTGGTGTCGGTGCGAAGCTGCACATCCCCTGCAAGTACCTCTGTCCCATGCTCTGCCTGTAGCTTACAGTGCCAGCCTGTTGCTGCCCTCAGCCTAGATCCCTCCCTGAGCTCTGCAGTGGCACCTTGAGATGTGGGGAGGTCCCTGCATT